AAATTCAATATAATCACGATATACATGGAACAACCCAAAAGCTGAACAAGCAGAACATGGCAACCAGTAAACAATGCTTTATCAAAAATCAAAGCCGTTCAAAAAGTGCTGCAACAAAGCAAAACAAACTAACAATTAATACCTGATCTTAAGAGCTTATGCCCGAGTAAGTCAGTTAGTGGAAGACATTTCACCAAGCGTAGGCTACAAACTGAGGCAAGAATATGAACCTATATTAAACTAATAGCATCACAAATTGCTATCACTTCTTTTCTCTTAACGCCTTTATGAATTCTTCCATCTCCCGCAATTTCTTCCGGTTGTCATGACTTTCACGTTTTCGTTCTCGTTCAGCTTCTAGCGTACGTCGACGTTTTTTCCTCTCCTCTTCAACATCGCGTTTTACGCTCTTTGACTTCGCCTTATCCTGTTCATTTTCCACTGAAACAATGGTTTTGGTAAGTACTTTATAAAATGGAGTTCGAAAGACTCATGAATTACAAAGATCAAAATTTTGGCCTCGGACGGGACTTGAACCCGTACTTCTAGGCAAGTACTGGTTCGACTCCCGTACGGGGCCGAAGTTTTGCCCACAAATCGCCATCCTTGAGAGATTTTCGCATCGCGTATTGCGGCAGTTACGCTTAGCAGTTAACGAAACATCAAATCAAAACAAGTTATAGCTTATGAATTATTTATTTACTTATTTATTTAATATACAAACAGAAAATTTCTGTAGAGAATATTGACCTGTGTAGAACAGCTTAACATATATAGTTGGAATTTACATGTTTTTATATAGTATGAACATGTATTCATCTAGTGTTGTCTTTATGTATTGACGTGTATGGACAAGGAAAGCTTATATAAGCATTATATAAGGGCGCCTCTGAGTTCCTAAATTAGTTCTGATACGTCGCTGCGTTGAATGACTGATCGTCATTTTCCATCAATTAGAAGAATAATGAGCTGTTATTCTATGGGCAGTCGCGATACCGACTGGTTTACCATCACTAAGGAGAGAGTTAAAACCAACAAACGCAATGCTGAAGGCACCTCCCACCCTCAACAATTAAAATTTCTTAGGAGCATGCAGAATTCGAGAAGCACGCAAAAACGTAGTTATACTTGAAACTTGTCGCTCTTTCAAACAACAACCCGCTGCGAAACTTTCAGTGATGTTATTAGTTTCCTAGTATACATTCATCAGAAAAAAAAACCCTTGAGATCGTAAAATAGAACTACACTTACAGATTTCTACAGATGGACTTCTTCTCTTCCTATCTAGTTTTGCCAGTGCCGTCCTTGCTCGTCGGTCTTCCTTTATTCGCAAAACTTTCTCGAACTTACTTTTCGCATTTTCCAAATCACCTTGTACTTCCAACCTGGATTGTAATTAAACTGTGTGTTTAGTAATTCTTTTTGCTTTCTCCTCAATCTCTTTACACAACTAGAAATCGACTCACAGCGATGCATACTTTACGAGTGTCTCCACCATGTAGTTACGAGCATTCGAGTGGGTTGGCATTAAAGAGAGCGCCTGATCAAAGTCGGCTTCAGCCAGAACGTAGTGTCCATTTGTCGAATATCTGGGCAAGACGACGCAAAGAAATTGATCGTTTCATGTATACGTTTCGCATCACGCGCATGTGCAATATCCCTCGGATCACAAATCGGATTCTGAATCGGCCTTAAGCATTTTACTATATCACCATATTAACTGCCTTAGCTCTCTTTTCGTTGGAGCAGATCCAAAGAATGACGTCACAGCGAGTTATTATCAATTTTTCAGGAACTACCCTGAGAAAACATTCAAAGAAACGGTTCAGGGAATATGAGCACAACTCTAACAACTGACCAGAAAACTACTCATACTCCTACTCTCATCCCTTCATTTAAACCTTATGGTAAACCATTATTAGTACCATTAAGGATCTCCCACCACTCGGAATCCCAAAACTTACGAATAAGCTTAATATCCGACGCAGAATCCGCCTCCAAAACAGATTGGAACGCACGGCGTCTTTGATGCATGGCTATAAAAGATCACTCACGCTGCACCTCTGGCTACCAGCGCTTCGACACAATGCGGATTGATTTCCAATGCTTGATTAAGCACAACGATGGCTGATTCACGATTTCCTGATCGCATGTGCTCCACGCCTCGTACTACATACTCATCGGCAAGCATCTCATTCTGTCGTTTCCGTATAGCCGATGCAGGCTCTGCTCGATCCTGAAATACAGTCTATGAGCTTTTATTACCACAGTAGAGCAAAACCTCCCATCATGAACGATAGCAAAACCTCCTATCATGAACGACATCTCTGATTTCCTTTCGATATATCGAATTCCAATACGATCAAATTTTTAACATAACAAGAAAATACTGGATAGATTTGAAATACCATCTCCACGCCGTCTAGCTTCAGGAACGTGTACGAAGATGTTGTAGGGAGTCGAAGCGTTTCCGCAAGATACGTGTTCCGCATCATTTTGCTATCCTCAATATAGGTCCGTAAATCAGTATGCCGTGGCAACTCCCGGCCAATCCTGAATAGGTACGATTAGCCGTCATTAAAGCATGACAAGGACGGCACATAGCCAAGCCAAAGGGGTTGTTCATGTCTGATTCAACCCAGACGGGTGCTCTGAAGCAAGTACAAGTGAACTCAACGAAACAAAACCACTTATTGTTTCAAATCCTTTTTTGAGCGGCAAATAAAATGAAAATACAAAAATGGAGAAAACTAAAAATTTCACACTTGTCGGCTAACCTGAAATAGTCTGGGAGTTCATTCGACGACAGCGGTGGAGCCTCAATAGTCATAATTGAAAGAGCGAAAAGATAAAAGAACGGTGTTTTCATAATTGGCGGCAATTTTCACAATAATGAAACAGTTTGATGACAGCAAAAAGAGAAAAAAGAAAAGAGACAGAACATACGGAAACTTCTCGACAAATCGAGAAAACGAAAGTTCATGAATCAAACATACTTCAAGTAGCTCGACTTTGACTGGATTTACGCTTGATATTCGGGCCTCTAGATATTGACCTACAGATATGCGACGTGAAAGCGCTGATAAAGGCGTGAGCAACTGAAACAAATATATGAAACGTTTTCCAAAATCATTCATAACCTTCGGCAACTTTACGTCAAAACATGAGCGCTACAAACTAAGAAGCTGGAGAGCAGCCAAGCAATTTTATCACCTCCTCACGCTTTTTCAGAATACTTTAAAATGGAGGAAAACAGTTACAACAGCAACAACAGCTATAGCTAACAAATAATTTTTTGACAACTTGGGCATAATTGGCTATTTGCTACTGTTAGTAATACTAAGGCTCATGAGAGTAGGGAATATTAGATTTTGATTGTAATCTTTAATTTTTTTCAAATTGACCACTTTTCAAAGCTTGTTTATTGTAAATGCGCCTCATCTATAAGCTATTAGTCTCCCTATCCATCAAAGAATTTCAAAAAAAGCCTATTAGCGCAGAAAACTTCCAATGCGTCCTTCCACTGAACTTATGTCAGCGCAAACAGGCTTATCGGTATTTTACATAATATGCGCCGTATTTATCATGATCAAATTAGAATCGAGCCGATAGTGGCTGGCACTTCGCGAACAGTTTTGCACGAAAATGTCCGGTACACCCACCTGTAAATCCAGCCACTCCAAATCACGTTTAATTCGTGTGGCAAAACATAAAGGCTTCACATATGCACCCACAATATCACATCGTTTGACTTTGACTATAAGAATATCACCAACTTGAGCATCCTCTTCAAATTTTGCTATCGCGCTGAAAAAAAAGAAGAATAAAGTTCAGGCCAATTGCACACAGAAATACCTAATCTCACTCATGGAAAACATGGAAAAAATGTTTGAGTAATTCATAGTATTTAATTTGCGGCAAGATGTATTTAACAAGTAATACCTATGTAAAATGATTAACTCAGAAATACTACATCATTTTATGGATTTTGGAATAAAAAAGGTATTCGGTTCACGAATTTGACTCAAATTTGGTTTTTTTTTCTCATTACAAATACTAAGAAGAGGGAAAAGTAGTGGGGAAAAAGGAGAAAAATGATCATTCCAGTGGGCTGTATCATAAATGATCCCAGTACTTATTGCTATGAGTAGCTCTTTCAGATGTCGTAGGGAGGGAAGACAATAGAATCTGTCGCGGAGACGTCAACCCATAATTATTATAAGGATAGCTAGGTGACCTCACGAGGTCACACCTCATGCTGTGCACATAGATTTGAATATGTTTACCGTGAGCACGATGTCTACTCCGAATAGATCGAAGCACTCAACTAATTAAGACATTCGCCAATGAACACACAAGGTATGGAAGAACGAGCTCCATATCATGAGGTGCGAACCCATTAGAATATGAACCCTACAGGAAATTTTATCTGCAGGTGTCAAGAGATTATAAGGGTGACAGTGAAAAAAAACCTTATCGTAAGATGTCGAGAGCAGTCAGAGGAAGCCTTCATGATTTTTTTCAAACATTGGAAGATTTGAATTTTCAGAGTGTCACAGCGAAGAGCATTGGAGAGGAGCAATTGAGATGGTTCGTCCCCAAAAATCGGTATACTAAGCACCATTCCTTGAAGAGCAAAATAGCTGGAAAACTCAGATCCGTATTAACAAACCAAGTAGGTCTCTTATGAGTTCCCTATGAGATGCACAGCCACCAAGGCAACATACGTGACACATCGGACCACCAAGTTACAGCAAGCGGACGATGAGGAGCTTGTCGTTAGGCGTGAATTCATTCGAAAGTTTTTCTGCTTATAGTTATATGCAAAACCTCCTTCTCCTTCGAGGAGACGATTGCGGCCCATTACTGCGAGCCAAACGTCTTTAGGTAAGCTAACGCTTTGTTTTTTTTCCAATACCACTTTCATGAAGAAAACAGTTAACAGTAAAACGAAGCACTACAAGTTCCCCTCAATACATTGAACAGCAGTCAGCTCAAATCTATAGGATAGGCCTCGCGTCCTTCCCCTGATATTGACAGAAAGATCAATAGTGGTGACCGTCATAGTGAAGATTGGATTTAGTTAGTTAACATAATTAAGTTGAAAATCAAAGCTGAAGGCAATACATTTAGATACTTTGCCTCAAAGAAAACTTCAGAAATCTACAAAGATCCAAAACGATGAAAGCACAGAAATTAATTACCTCGACTCTGAAATTCGTTCAGCAAAACATTCATAAGCAGGTGTCGTCGAGACTGAAGGCAAATCAAGTACCCCGTCCTCTTGAGAATTTGGAATTCCTTTAACGATTTCACGAGCAGCACACCTTATACTTCTTTTCTTCTCACGGCTACTACTCATCGCATAAAACTGCGATACTCCTGAAATAATAAGTCAAATATTCAAACTACGATACGCACTTCTCCATCGACTATACATACATTTCAGTCATTTTCAAAAGCTAAAAAATACAACCTATGGTACCAGCACAGTGCTCCCTTGTAAGGTAATGTTTCTTAACTCAACTTATAAAAATTTGAACCCAAGGGAAACTCTCAGCTTTTGAAGAAGACAAAAAATGGAATTGGGATGCGAGCTGCGACTACTTCGTCTGAGCTCTTACCTAGCTCAAAAGGCCTAGTTACTACCGTAGAACGGAATCTTAACAGAAACAACTTTGGTGTTGCTTTTCAGAACCATTTTCTATTCCCAGTGAAGTTAACCGAAACTTTAGCAATTATCGAAAGCATTGTCAAAACCTAAAACATTCCTGGTATCAGTCTATCTCCCAGCGGCCTCTGTCTACTCCATCATGGCATTTAAAGTCAGCATAATTAGGTGACTAGAGTTCACAGATAATGGAGGCCAGTACCAAAGCAATACTCATTAAAAAGAAATCAATCTGAATTTCATTCACATTATTTACAAGCAATTTGGTCGAACACAAATAAAGCCAACCATGTTGACTCAAATAATCAGCTCAAGGCGCACATCAAAATCTACAAAAAGACTAGCGTCAATAAGAAATACTACTATACATCAAGCATAATCAAAAGACAAATACAAACTATAGAAAGAAAAAATAAAGCACTATAATGTCTAAAATGCGAATGACAACCCATTAATAAGTGAGATTAACAAAAAGGGAAGTCTCAGCTGGAGAAAAAATTAGAAAACTACTCAAATTCTCAGTAGGGTGATATAAAATGCCCAGAAAATGCTGTAGATGTATAGGGAATTCAACAAACGATAAACTATTGCAAAATCAGAATTTGGTGATAGTGAAAGTAACACTGAGGCATGGCATCAAACGGTTGAACACGTGAAAGTTGAGACCAATTTAGAAAGCTGTTCTCAATTTGAGAAAGCTGGCGGAAATTGAAACACGTCACTATAAAGGGTTATAAAAACCAAAACCTCAGCTATTCTGGGAGAACAAACGCAACAAATAATATTAAAGATTACTCTAAGTAGCAGTATAATACAATTTGCTTGTAAGCTACAACAAAAACGTACAGAAGCGGCAGACACCCCACAATGATCGCAGCAGCTGATTGCACATAATATCGATTTTTCATAAACAGAACGTTGGCTAGCAAGTACTTGGAAAATCTAGCCAGTCTAAGCATTCTTTTTTGGTGCAAAAGGAGACAAGGAGTCAGGAAGGGCTTGAGGGAATATCGGACGAATGCCTTCCATTTTAAGCACGCCCAACGCTCGTAATAACTGGTAGGTGCCGAATTCTGCTCTCATCGACGGCGACCACGACTTGCTTTTCCCACGCCATTCCCCTCCCTGAAATACTCCAATCGGTTACTTCTTTTTACCAGCTTTACCAGGAGAAGTAATAAAAAACTCTTCGTAGAGGCTTCTGCAGTGGTGAAAACCAAAGACAAAAGAGCAGAAAGCATCAAAAACAGTCAATTCAACCTCTGCAGCTACCCAGACCTGTGTGCTACTGTCCCATAGCCCTTGTTCTGACGTGAACCCAGAATCGTGAGCAGATAAAAATATCAATTATGGGTGATTTTGAATTTAAAACCACCAATATTTACCTTGGGAAAAAGGTCGGAAACTTTCTTACAAGCTCCGAAATCGTTCGTAAATCTCAGCTCACCTTAACATTTGTCAAATTCTCCAGTTTGATCGCCTCTATAAGAGCAGCCTCACGAACGAAAGCCTCTTCATCGGAAACACTGTGGTTGATTTGCAGACAAACAACACCGTTTCCGTTTTTCCAGATTGAATCAATACGTTGAAGTTTCGCGTTTGAAGTCTGCAAGAGCGTTGGTTCTATGTACGAGGGGATCGATGTGAGTTATAAAAAAAGCACCGCATGAGAGGCCTCGATTCGACTACTGGCAAACTTTCAAAATTACAGAACCATACAGAAAAATGAATAGTAAAACAAACGAAAAATGAATATATTAGATAAGAGTGCATGAGGCCACCCTACCAATTTCGGCGACTTCAGCTCCTTCTCCTTTTTCGCTTCGATTAGATGAGCTAGAGGGCGTGCCTGAAACGATTACTCTAAACCATAGTACCACTGCTTATAAAGAAAAATAATATTAGATTTTACAAGAGAACGCACAGATGCAATAGCCACTACGCTCAAATCAAGCCTAACAATTTTGGTTGGGCAGAAGTAAGGGCCGTTAAGTGAGTAGCTCCTAATCTACCCATACAGATTTGAAGACAAACAACGAAAGGACCGATCAAGTAAAATGTAGTCTTAAGCCTATTTTTCACTCACCTTTGAACCTTTCCCGACATAAAAAATTGATTGCACGAAACTTTTCAGATCCATTGAATCCACGTCAACACTAATCTTTCTAGGATCCAGGAGGAGATAGCAGAAGGCAGTCACACCAGCTAGTTGGAATTCTTCTCGGACCTGCATACACATAAAGCATAGAGAAGCTTAGTTAGCTTACAAATGCCATTGGGATCTCAAAAGTTGCAGACCTGGTCATCTAACGGTTTCCCCTTCTCGGCTGTTGATATATCCAACATTGCCATTTCCAATTGACGCGAATATTTCACTCCTTTCACAGTGGCTGCACCACGACGCATTGCAACCAACTTTTTCTCATACATCCCTCGCGTCCTAATTTTAAAAATCCTTTCTTTTCTAAGGATTACGACGGCTTAAATGATTAAAAGCAGCATAAAATATTATGTAATAAAACTATCCATGGTCGTGAATAGAGAGCACTTATATTAAAAGGCTATTGCTTAAAAATTAGAAATGCTCACGATAATTGGAGAATAGAAGTTTTTAAAAGCGAAAAAATTGTATAACGCCCTAAGAAAGCCATCCACAAAGCCTAGTAATATCGAGTACAGAACAAAATGAACCTACACTGCAAAATTCATACTGATAGCACTGGTTATCACAGATACTATCAACCAGAACTAACTAAATTCACGCCGCTTTTCGTGAAAACCACAACCTATTTGATGGACAACTAAAGCCAAGGTAATGGCCTCATGTAGACCTTCAATCCCGACAAATGAGCATGTATTAGTGAGGTAGCGCTTTTGGCAATGTATCGCAAAAGAGAAGATTAATGCAACCAATGTAACTAAAAAGCTGAAAAATGAGATAAAATGTTGTTGACCACTATCATTGCTCACCTGGCACACATAGGTCCAGCAACAATGCCAAATTTCCTCAGCTCAGCTTTTAACTGCGCATCATTGAGGCGACGAACCTTTCGCAATTGACCATCATCAACATTTGGTGAAAAAATTGCTCCATCGATCCTCATCTGAAACATAAGCTACTTGCCAAAGAGGCGAGTTCTTATCAAAGGGGCCACAACCATTACCTGCTGAACTTTTCTTTGCAAATCAGCTATGTCAAAGCTTTCTTCGGCTGTGGCATACGCCTTTTCACTATCTAAATAACAAGTCAAGTGAAAGTACAGTTCTCGTCGTAAATCAGGGAATAAAAGTCAAATGTGTCACTCTGCACACCTTGGCTGCTGTCCTTTTCACTTAACCACTTGGAAAGATCATCAGCCGGCATCTCTTCAATGGGTGGCGCCGACGGTTCAGGTCGTGATCTTGGGGTCACCGGTGCGAGCCTGGCTGTTCTCCTGAATGCTTGGCTGATTGAAAACTTACTTATGGAGGAGTGTGAGAATACGACCAAATACCAACCTATGATCCACCATAACGGCAGGACTTAGAGCAGGCACTCGTGCTGCTGGTTGAGATCCCATCGGTAAATGATGTGGCGTGTAAGCTTTGGTAGTTTGTGGAAAGCGAAGATGACGATCCCGATCGAACTTCATCTCGGGATCACTGTGTGATCGTCTTGAATTTGATGGAAGATCCACTGCAGCAGCAGCAGGTATGCTGGGTTTATTGATGAGAACTCCTCGGGACGGCTTCGGCCCTATAAGTATATTCTTTGATATTCCCATATGCGGCAATTTCGGGCTGAGTTGCAAGGGTGGGTATAAATCGTCAAACCAGCACTGCATTTACATTCACAGGAGTTTAAATCAATTACAATAAAGCTGCTGTGTGCATCAAAAAATTGAGTTCCTTTTTTGGAATTCTTCAGTAAAACATTTGCACTAGAAACGAGTCTGGTCCTAACGAAAGCTCACTTTCCATTATTTAATTTTGAGCGAAGCTTCACTGGTCTCGAAACAAAATAAATACAACACAAAGGAAGAGAAATGTCAGCGAAAGGTGATACAAACGACACTGACTTACCCGCAGGACGCGTCTGTTTAGAAGTTGTTGGCAATGGCATTAAATCAGAGGTTGGATAACCCGGACTAGCAAGTGTACCAGAACGAGGTGTCCCTGTAGGAGGAGCTTGACCGCTGATTCCTGAAGTGGTAATTGGTGAGGAAGTCGTAAAAGCTCGTGTCGGAGCGTCAGCGATTGGAGGCCCTACCTGAAAAAAGAGATTCTTATTTATGTTTAAGTATGAGAACAGATTCAAGACAAGTGCAAATTCGAAAGATGCGGAAGAAGAACGGCTTGGTTTATCTCCCATCTTCACATTACGCCATAGAAACCCTTACACTTCTGGTCAAGTTTCGTGCTACAAGTTGAAATATTTCAGCATTTGTATGCAGCTGAACACTCAGCGTTCAGTAGCACTGAAACGTCAGCCCGTCTCGAAAGTTAATGCGGGAATGGATAGCATAATGTCAATCAAAATGGTGTGACTGGTAGAGTCTAAAGCAATGATAACATCCCGATGATTGACAGTACATTCGTGACGAAGCTTTCCTCAGTAAAGACACTCGAAACCTGGAATCCGAAGGGTATTGAAGGCTTAATCTATAACTTTGACTATAGCCCCTACTCAGAATTGTAACAATAATACTACAAGATGTCCAGAAACTGTAATCAATAGTGATAATCACTCCTTTTTGATATTACGGATTCGGACGTTCCAACTCTCATCACAACCGGATGATAACACCTAATCAGTTTCCACTTTCGTTCAAATATAACAGATGATAAGAAACGCACGAGGCTTGGCCTCCTTCGGCCAACGTTGAACGATCGCCGCACTTTTCTTCGTATGCTCCTCATAAAATTAGTGTTTGTTGCCGTTCCCATTCCAGCATGACATGCAAAAAGCCGTCGAATAATTCCTCTCTGTTCCCTGGTGCTTTTGGCAAGCATTCGCTGAAGAAACCTATAATAACCACTGAGTGTACGGCATAAACGTGCAAAAAGCGATACGAATGTATTGTACTTTTTCGATCTATGGCAAGAAGCAGATGAACCCAGCTTCCTGAGCAAAGAACGACAAATTTAGGTGTATTTATAGAAAACTATCTGAAACTATAATTCTATG